ACTTGTGCTGTGAGCAGAGAACACTGCCCCCCGGGCTTCCAGGCAGGAAAGGAATGATATCCTAAAGCCTGGCGCACCCTTCCTCCTGGGCCGCAGCCAGCACGCAGGAGTGGGCCAGTTCCCTAGCAAGCGTCCCCTCTGTGGGTGTCCTGTTCTCCACACTTGCACCTGGATGTTTCCAAAATGCATCCACTCAGTTCAGCTGCCATTCAGTAGCACCTGTCACCCGTTCTCTCTCATCTACTGAAGGGGCATCCTTACTGGAACCCTTCCTGTTCCTGCGTGATGTATTAATATTTTTGTTCCCGTTTATGTTTAGTCAGTTGCACTTTGTTGCCAGGCTCCCTGTTCCAACGGCACCAGAAGTGGGTGCCTGAGCTGAGGGTGGTTGGGAGCAAGCCTCTGGCTTCCGTGGGACCCTCGCTCTGTAGAAAGTCTGCATTCTCAAAAATGTCTGTGAAGTTTCACTTCTGCTTTTGAAAATTTTGCTCTGAAACCCAGACATCCAGAGAACGCGGGGCTCGAAGGATTACTTGAGAAGTCGACCTTAAAAATTTTTTCTTAGTTGAACTGATGTTTACCCTCCCCAGCGCCAGCACGTGTAGCCTTCCCCAGGGCCAGCACGTGCAGTTAATGAACCCGTGCAGTTAATGAACCCATGCAGTTAATGAACTCTGGACACGGGCATCTCCCGGCTGCACGAGTGGGCCCGGGGCCCCAGGGCTTGCAGCTGGTTCTTGATCTTGGAGGAGTCTGTTTCCAGCGGGGACCAAGCTGATACTTCAAGCCACCTTCCTGGTGGCCCCCGAGTTTCCTCCTTGCTCCTCCCACCAGCTGTAACTGCAGACACCCTCACCCAGGCCACACCCGAGGCCCTTAGTCCCCCCTGAGGGAGAGTCTTCGGGGCTGGGGCCAGGTCTGCTTTGTCGCCAGGGAAGGTAACTGTCTGGACTCCGAAACCCTGGAACTTCTGACCTAAATTAAGTGCATGCTAACGGTGTGTTTTCTGCAACCCTATACTTGTGACCGACAGATTTGTGGTCCAGAGAGTGACACTGACTTCGGGAACATGAGTGTGTCCCATTTACATACCCGTGAGAAAGGAGCCCAGCTGTACATCATCGCTGAGTTATAACCCCTCGGGTGCTGCTACCGGCGAAGCCGTGGTGGGCCCGCCTCCACGAGTATTTAAGGAGCGCTCACCCCAGTGCCGGAGCTGTTGTAGGCTTGGGTAGCGTCATCATCTGCTCTCTGGAGGGAGATGACATGCTAGGTGGGGTAGAGCATTTAAAACAAATAAAACAGGCATGTAAACAACGAACAAAAGAAACAGTATGAGTGGAGCGCAGGAATTAAGAGGGATGTGGCTGTGACAGGCAGCCCCTCTGCGCTGGTGATCAGGGTCCAGCCCCTACAGAGAGAAGCAGGGACCAGGTTTCAGCCCAGAGACTGTGGGAAACCTGTGGAGTGCATGTTCTGGTCCCATCTTATAAGCATGGTTTAAGCTGATTTCGGACAAGCGTGGGATAGTCTGGGAGGTGGTTCAGTGTAGTGGAAGCGACAGCCTTAAGGCG